ATGCAATTTGTGGTAATGGGTATGCATGGATCTGGCCTTCACATCTTGGGCATGAGGGTTGGCAATCAGCTTTGTGTCTCATGAATATTCATAACCAGTAAATAAATGAAATCAAATCAAATAAAATTGTTCGCAACTCTGGCCAAAACACTAGCAGTTTCAGAACTGAATAACCACACCATCTTTGAAATTTTATTGAACAAGAGAAGAAAACAGCAAAATTCTGAAGTGGCCTAAAGGTGAAATTATGAAGTCCTGAGAGGCATGCCTCTCATACATCTGGAAATACATTTTACTCTTGCCAGAAGTCTTCCTCAAATGTGTAACCAGTTCATCCACTCATTCTTTCATTCAGCAAAAACAAACCACATACCTTATATATGGAAAGCACCATATTCAGGAGAGGGATCCAATGGTGAAAAAGAGAGTACTAGTACCTACCTTCATGGGTATTATAGGTTAGTGGCAACTTTTCAAAATGCTTCTAATGTTACTGAATTCCAAACCTGCCCATTACACTATATGCAAAAAAAAAATTATTTCTCTTAAGCTCAAAGACAAATCATTTTGTATATATTTATATTTTATGAAGTTCCTAAATTGTCTTAAGTTTCTTTTCCATTTACAATAAAAATTCCCTTCATGACTCTTACATAGCATGTACCTTTCCTCCAAAACAGAGACTGTATCTTAGTTTATATTTTTATCTCAAGATGCTATAATGGTGTACTAAATGTGGCAGGTGCTCAATTAAACTTTGTTTAGTGAAAAACAAAGCAACGTAGAATGTGCATTCTTTCTTTCCATGGTGAGACTTCATTTAGAACACACATGACAGATGGCATCTCTTTCTTACATTCTTTTTCTCACTATGGGACTCACTATGTATTCAGTGGCCCGTTAAACAGCACTCATGACTAATGTTTCTCCTTCCTTTCCTCTCTTCACCAAATACTTAATGACCCTGGATATCTCTGACGCCAGCCCCACCTGACCTGAAGACATGTAGCATCTTAATTCGGATCTGCTTGGTCTTGATAGTGTAAACAACTGGATTGAGCACTGGAGGTATAAGAAAATGAAGATAGGAGAGCAGCACACGGCTGCGTGGGGAAGCCTGCTTCCCAAATCGGTGGATCATGGACAGGCCAATCATAGGCGTGTAGAAGAGCAGCACAGAACAGATGTGGGAGACACATGTGTTGAGCGCTTTGAGGCGCTCAGCCTTGGAGGCAATGGACAGCACCATTTGGAGGATCAGCCCATAGGACAGAACAATAAGCACGGAGTCTACACCCAGCGTGGAGAGAACTACGAAGAGCCCATAGGCACTGTTGACACTGGTGTCAGCACAGGCCAGCTTCATGACGTCTGGGTGCAGGCAGTAGGAGTGGGACAGCAGGCGGTGCTGGCAGTAAGGCAGCTTCTTCAGTATGATGGGGGCCGGGATGTGGAGACTGATGCTGCGCACCACGATGGCCAGGCCCAAGGTGGCAATGCGAGGGCTGGTGAGGATGGTGCTGTAGCGCAGGGGGTTGCTGATGGCCACCACACGGTCAAAGGCCATGGTCAGCAGCGCAGAGGACTCCATGATGGAGAAGGTGTGGATGAAGAAGAGCTGGGCCAGGCACACGTCCACAGCCACCTTCCTGAGACCCAGCGTGTAGATGGTGAGCATGGTGGGCAGTGTGGAGGCAGACAGGCCCAGGTCGGTCACGGCCAGCATGGACAGGAAGTAGTACATGGGCTGGTGCAGGGAGGGCTCTGACCTCACGACCCACAGGATCAGGCTGTTCCCCACCAGGGAAGCCACATACATTGCACACAGAGGGATGGAGAGCCAGGCATGCAGGGTCTCCAGGCCTGGGAGGCCTGTCAGGAAGAAGGAGGTGTCTGTGTGGTTGATGTCTGACATGACGGCCTTGAGGGGCAGACGTCCAGACAAAAGTGCAGCCACAGGCCCTAGAATCAAATGGGTGGCAGGGTCAGGACACCTTCTGTAATTCATGACCTTACTAAATGTTCCTCTCACAGTCATGACCTCATAATTTGCCCAAGTATTTCCCCTAGTTCAGTAATAAGGAGTCCTTACAAAAAGATGAGTTTGCATATTTATTACAAGAAATCTTTAATTATTAGTAAGCCTGGCTCAGGAGCCACACGACAAAATTTACCCCAAAGTCAGATTTGAAACATGGCTCTAGAAAAGGACTGAGGCAGTGTTGGTTCCACCGCTTCATTACACATATTAGGAAATGAACTTTCATTTTCAGTACAGATTGTGTGTCAGGTTTGGGACTAGAACCCAGATGTCCTCACTTCCTGTCAAGTTGTTTACACTCCCTTTAAATAAGTACATCTCCAATGTGCCGAATATGAGAATTCTGCAGTGACAACTTCTTTCCTAGTTAAAACAATGCAAAACAAAGAATTTGCCTTCACGTGTTAGCCCACCTCATAAGCACACAAATACAACCTAATCACACATGCAATTTAAAATGCCAAGGTCTGACAAAAATTTTAGACATTTTTCTAATATGATTCATTCTCTAAGTGGATATGTACATGTAGAACATTAGTGAAACAAAATAATCAGTAGCTCATGGAATATTGATGATATGTGAAAGTTCATCTGTAACTATTCAACATTATATTAATAAGAATATAGAAACTAGAAGATAGCATTTACTTGCCAAGGAATCAGGGCTTAGATCCACTTATAAACTAATTTCCAGAGATATGCACTAATATGGGAATGGGATTTTGCCACTGTTTCTCCTCCTGTGTTCTCAGCTACCTTCCTGTATTTAATCCCATATGTGTTCCATATGCTGAAATCTCTTCCCCTTTCCTCTTAAGTATAAACAAAGGGAGGAGAGTCCTAGAGTTTTCCAGGAACGTAAAACATTACAGAATAACAAGTAAAAAGGACAACCTCATTTTAAGGGATCTTATTTAATAATATATTCGGAGTTTTGGTCTTTTGTTTGTTTTGTTTTGTTTTTCTCAGATAATATGAGTTTTCTCTTCATTTTACACTCTTCCTCTTATTTTTCTCAGGATTAGTAACCAAGCATTCCTTTCCCTTCAAAAAGTAGGCCCACATAATGAATTCTGTCACTTTTTCTTCTGCAGATAAAAATGTACAAGTCTAGATCATTATATTTTTGTTTCACTTAAAGTATTTTACAAAGTATTTTCACGTATACCATTTTAAAACATCTCAACTGTCAGAAGTTGTCAGATCAGTGTCCCCAGAATAAGAAACTTAGTCATTACGAATTTGTGTATATATAACCTCATCCAAGCCACTTGGATCATAAAAGAAAGACCCAATACTGGACGTAATTCTGGCTGATTTCTTGCTTTGAACTTAGAATATTGTGGCTTGTAGCTGAAGACAAACAACAGCTGTCAATGAACAGAAGTCTCTAGATACTCACAAAACTTATCCTTAAATCAAAATAAACTAAAAATTCCCATGAATTGATTTTTAAAAAATTTACTGCATGACGGCAACTTCTGACTTTTCTCTTATATTGTTCCTTACTGCCTCTGAATTAGATACCTGCATTTTTATTTGATAATTAAACTGCTCTAGATACTGTTCTAGATGCAGGAATTAGATTTATGGGGGGAAAAAACGATCCTAGCAAGAAAAGAAGCATGAGACTAAATATTATTGCAAATGTGTGAAGAAAATAAAACAATGTAGAAAGAGAAGGGAGTGATACCTTGGACTGACAGTATAGGAAAAATTTCTCTGAGGAGAAGAATTTTGGGGTATGAGTAAAACATCAAGAAGGAGCAAGCAAGCTGGAGATCTGTGCATGCATGCGGGAATGTGTTCTTGGTAAGAAATGCATAGAGATACATCAGCAAAATCATCAAATTATTAGCACACAAGTTAACTAGGAGATAGATACCTGCTATGGCAAGAATTGTGATAGAAATGAAAAGGTAAAAAAAACAAAAAAACAAAAAAAAACACAGAGAACCAGAGCCAACACAATCACCAAAACAATTCACTGAACTGCAAAACTGAGAACTGCATTTCACTGCAGAGGGGGTCGGGGTGGGGGGGGGGGGGCAATTCCTTCCTATACTGAAAATATATCTAGTGGCTCTGAAAGTTTGGACCTTGGACAAGTGGCATCAGCAGTACACGGGAACTTGTAATACATGTAAATTATGAGGTCCCATCCAAACCCTACTGAATCAGAATTTCTTGGGTTGAAGCCTAGCATTTGGTGTTTCAACAATCCCTCTGGGTGCTTCTGATGCACATCAAAGTCTGAGAACCACTGCTTTACATCATTGGATATGGTATTGGTCTGTAAACAGCTGACTGCAATGCTGTTGAAGGCACATTTAAAAAGGGAGTGGGAAAGAAGCAAAAGTTATTAGTTAAGAGAAAAGGGACATCCTCAGAAAGAAATTTCACTCCTCAGTGCTGAACTCTGAGATGGTTCCAGCAAGCACGCTCAGGCACAAACACAGATTCCTTGACTGGGGTTCTCAAAATGATCTTGCCCATGCATCATTAGACACCAAAAAGTATATGACATTTATAATAAATGAGCATACTATGTTTTTCCTGATAGTTTATTATGAAAAGTAACAAATTTTTAGTAAGGTAATTTGTATGGCAGCTAAACTCTGCTGCTGTAGGAATTTGGGGAAGAGGTTTTACCCCTCCTACATAGAGATATACGAATTTCTAATCACTTTCTGACAGATCGAAAAAATATGAAATAGGGTGCAGAAATGTTTGAGGAAATTGACTAGAAAAAACTGTGCATTCAAATTAAGTGTTTTAATGTTCTATGCCTGTGAATTCCTTATCTTACATTCATGGTGCAATGTTTCCTTATAATCAGAGAAAGGCACATATTTATTTAATAAACTGAGAGGTCCTCATAGGTCTCAGATGCAGATACATAAACACAATGAATGTCCTCAGTCCTCAGTGTAAGCAGAGTCAGAATTCCTAATTTTATTTTACTTACTCAGCCTTTGAAAAAAAATGACATGTATGAAAATATACGAAGATGCTCATATATGTAAAGCATATTATTTTTCATACAGTGAACTCAAATTACTGCCTAGAAGATTAAGAGTTTTGTGAGTGTGTGTGTGCTGATAATTTCTTCTTGTTATAGTTTTTAAAATATACTTGTTAAGTGAAGGGATTTCATGATAAAAAGCAGATTATAGTCGAAAAGTCAGGGCATCTGTTTCTGGTCCTGGTTTCAGCATGAAAACACTGAGGAAAAAAACAGCAACAACAACAACAAAAAAACTTATATAAAACTTGCACTTAAGCATGATCTATTTCTCCAAAACTGTTAAGAATGCACTATGGGCTCCTTGCTTTGGGGTACTATTCTTTTTGGCTAGTCAGCAGATTTTCAACTAGCTGTAGATCTGTGGCATAATGGAATGGACAAAGCAGAAAGCCATGCTGAATTTTTCCAACGCTCATGTCTATTTTCTTCTACAACCACAATATGATTTAGGACAATATTAACAGCCAATATTCTGACACAATAGTGATAAAAGAACAATAAAAACAAATGCAATTTGTGGTAATGGGTATACAGCCAGTATGAATCTGGCCCCCACATCATGGGCATGAGAGGTTACAATCAGCTTTGTATTTCACAAATATTCATAACCTATAAAAAATATTTTTTTGCAAAAAAAAAAATATGGGCTTCATATTTACAAAGGATTATCTTCTCAAACTACATAATCACATATACCATGCTGATTTCAGTTTTCTCACCATCTAAAAAAAGGAAAATTTGTAAATTTTACTAATTATTTTATAATATAAATCTCCTCGATTTATTTATACATAAAATAGGATAGTAGATGGAAGAGTTTCTAGAATTCTGTGAAGTGCTTAGAAAGCAAACAGTAATTGTAATATTATTTGTTTGTCTTTAATTTTTCCTAAATATATCGACCATGCAAAATTACCAATCTAAATGTTCTTACCAAGCAAAACGCAGGGAGCTTGTTCAAAGATGATTCTTCAAAGAATCAGAAAGAATTGCAATTATTCTTGATTACTCTGGATTTATCAATTTACATCATCTTTCTTTTACCTTCCATCTTGCCAGAAGAGAAAGCAATCGCATTGTCTTCACAAATAAGTGATTCTTCATGCCATTCTACTCCTCAAACATTTCCTCATTTTAGCTTGTCCTCCATGAAAGGCATAGAGCAAGTTTGCTTAGAGATTCAGGTGTACACATCACAGGTGTATTTAAGACAAGGGAATTTTGCAGGTGAAGTACTAGTCAGTCTCCTAACTATACATTTAATTGGCTGTACCTATTATGGCAGCATATCTGAGGAATTCTTCAGAAAACTCATCCAATAGCTTCCAGATGATACTTTATGATGATAAGCCAATTTTCTTCCTCCAAATCTTCAATGTACTGTTTTTCTCAGGGTGTTAACACAAAGTATATTAACACTATTCTTAACTAATCACTTGCAAGAGCCTTGGCAGACGGCTTTATCCCTTTCTTCTCTAAATCTCATGTTATTGATTCAGCCACAAGGAGGCAAGATCTGAGAACATTTTCTCCCCTTCCTCATGAGTCCAATGGCAGGGAGTTCCCAATGAAGTGTAATTTTACAGCAAAACAGCCAATGCCCAGACATCATTCCCTGATGAACACAACAGACACCATGGGTGTTGGGGCAGCAACTCATTTTAACTATGTCACTGCTAAACAAGTTTTGCAACGGGCTAAAGAGACTCCATTATAATTGGAAATCTTTTGACCCTGTACAAATCTGAGTTTTTCAGTTACTGATTCCCTTCATAGTATGGTTGTAAAATAATTGGCCTGTTTTGGAATACAAGCTTCAACATCATAAAGTCCTAAGTTGAAGATG